CACCGTACAGCTAACTGCAGCTTATGCTCCGACGCAGCAACCGCATCGCAGCACGAGAAGGGCGGGCAGCCGCAGCAGAACAGCAGCTACCTCTGCCCCTCCCCTCTGAGATGGACACCCAGGGCAACCCCACGGTGGACAATGCCGCATCTGGCAGTCCACGGGAGGTGTGCAACTCGAACCCCCCGGCCCCACAGGCCCAACAGGAGGGTTCCACTGCGACTTCTGCGGGAACCCTCGACGCTGCACCAGTCCGGCAGCAAGGAGAGACCATGACGGCCTTCCTCGCTCGCCTGGGCACCTATATGCAGCATGTCCAAGAAGAGCAGCAACGCGAGGCGGCAGTCGAAGCCGCACGCCTTAATGCCATTGCTCACACAGAAGAGCAACGACGCCGGCAGCAAGCTGACACAGCTGCCAACCACAACGAAGCTCGAAGAGATGCCGCGTCTGTCCTCATGCAGCAGGAAGCCGCTCATACCGCCGCACTCCAAGCATGGCATGTTGATCCGGCGGAAACAACGGAACCAACTACGGAGGACCAGACTAAGTCAGCTCTCACCAGCATGATGCACCAAGTTATCCTCACTTGTAACTGGCAACAAGTGGAGCTGGCTCGGCAGGCACGTACCATTACTGAGAACGAGGAGACTCTCAAGAGCCTCCACGCCCGCCTTGACATGTTGGAGAAGGATGACGTGCCGCACAGGCACACGGCATCGTCAAGCATCGATCCACCGATCCGCGAGCTGGAAGAACGACTGGATCACATAGTCGCGCTTGTTGGCAACTTGAACAGTTTCCGACACCCGACGACCATCAGCCAGCAAATAGTCGCTCTACAACCGGATTTGCATCAACTACAGCAGCAACCAACTGGGACCTGCAACAACGTGACGCCGAAACAATTCAAGATGCCGAAGTTCAGCATCGACAAATTTGATGACTACCACAAGGCGGACCCCATCAGTTGGTGGCAAGGGTTCGCCAATGAGCTCTCCATCCACTTGGTCCCGCCCGAGTCGAAGATCTCAGCGCTTTACCTCTGCAGCACCGGTGCCAGCCAAGTGTGGCTCAACCACCTGGCTCAAACCAAGGGCGTCGAAATCTCCAAGCTTCACACCAAGATCACTTGGGAGGCCATGACTGAGAAGTGGTGGAAACGCTTCATCGTCGACGACGCGCAGGGCAAAGGCGTGAACCGGATCTTCAGCATGCATCAAGGCAGCCAGCCAACACGCGAATGGCTAACCGAGTGGCAGAAAATCGTGACGATTCCGAATTTGGACATCCCATTTGTACATCTTCGTCGCGAATTCTTCCCGCGGCCAGTGGACGAGTTGAGCACGGCCCTTGGGGAGCGCAGCCTGTACACGGACTTTGAGCAGATCGTGGAGAAGGAGCGCGAAGTCATCCAAACCAATCGGTGGGCAGCCAACGAGCGGCAAAGCCAACCGAACTTTGTGGAAAAGGGCAAAAGCCCGTGGCCGCAGCAAGTCGCTGTTGTCCAAGGAAATGGACAAGAGAACGACCAGGCAATGACTCACGAGTTTAGTGAAGGAGACGGAGTCAACGCCCTTCCGCCACGACGCAACAACAACAACAACAACAACAACAACAACAACAACAACAAGGCGAAATCTGCGTCAACAACGGAAGTCGGACAGCCGAACGAGCCTTGGAAGAAGTTCAGCCTCACGGAGGAGCAATACAAGTTCCGCCAAAGGTGGAACTGTTGCTACTGGTGCAACAGCACCAAGAACACGACGTCGCAATGCCCTGACAAAGGCAAAGAAGACGTCCGTCCACGGCAAAGCTCGGGAAACTGAGTTCCGCGGGAAGTGAGGCGACTCCACTTCCTACTCCGCCGGACACAGTTGCCTTGCTAGCAACCTCCTCCACGTCCGGGAACATGCGTATGTCGCCAGTCTTCGTGAAGATTATGAAGACTATGCTGTCCAGCTGGTCCCGCCGTTGGACCAACCTCTCCACGTGCAAGAGTTTTATGCGTGTGCGACTTCATCACCATCGCCAAGCTAACCAACATCCTCGCCAACATCACTCGGGGACTCGTCGGTGTGGTCTAGACTTGAGGAACTCAACCCATTGATACCGGAGGACTTCCAATGGTTGCCTCTTCCCCCATGTGGTTCCTTGCCGAAGTCGCATTGCAACGCCCTAATGGCGGAGCTACGCAACTACTTGCACGTTGTAGTACCAGCTTCGTTGATGGAAGACGGAGGAGCGGTTGTTGACCTTCGCGAGTACATTGCGAAGATTGATCGCGAGTACGCCACGCAACGGTACGACGACACCGACGCACCGTTACTCTACGTCCGCATTCAGATCGGGAAGGTGACCTACAGTGCCTTGATTGATTGTGGAGCTACTCGCAACTACATCAACCAGGATTTCATGACCCGCGCCGGCCTTGGGCTGCGCGTTCGAAGAAAATCGCAGCCCACGCAAGTCACGTTGGCCGACGGTCGTACGCACAAGTCCATCGACCGGTGCAGTGACTATGTCCCCGTGTACTTCGTCCCGCTTGCAGGCAAGGCCGTGTCCTTTGACATATTGGACACAAAGTTCAACATGATCTTGGGCATGTCATGGCTGCGCAGCGAGGACCACCCGGTGAACTTCTACCACCGCACCGTTCACATTCGTGACCGGAACGCGGTACTTGTGCCATGTACGGTCCCCCCACCTCATCCTTCGATTGGTTGTCACGTGGTCTCCGCGGCAAGCATTCGCAACTCCATCGCATGGAACGACATGGAGGAAATGGGCATTTGTTTCTTGCACACCCTCCCTCCTCCCGACAAGCCAGCGGCGGAACAGCCACCGGATTCACGCATTGTACAGCTTCTTGACTCCTATGGCGACGTCTTTGAAGCCCCCGCCAGAATCATACCGAATCGGCCAATTCGTCACGAGATTATCCTCGAAGACGGGGCCTTACCTCCGCGCGGATGTATTTACCGCATGAGCGAGGAGGAACTCAAAGTGCTTCGAACACAACTCGATGACCTCATTGACAAGGGCTGGATTCGCCCTAGCTACTCGCCCTACGGTGCACCTGTTCTCTTCGTTCAGAAGAAGAACAAGGAGCTGCGCTTATGCATTGACTATCGCAAACTTCAAGCTCAAACCATTAAGAATGTCGGTCCGCTTCCACGCATCGACGATCTTCTCGAACGCTTGGGCGGCGCCAAGTATTTCTCCAAGTTGAACCTCAAGGTCGGTTACCACCAGCTCGAGATCCATCCAAGAGATCGATATAAAACCGCGTTCAAGACACGGTACGGGCACTTCGAGTGGGTCGTAATGCCATTCGGCATCACGAATGCCCCGGCCACCTTCCAAGCGGCAATGACAACGGAGTTTCGTGACATGTTAGACCGGTTCGTGCTCATCTACCTCGATGACATCCTGGTGTATAACCGAACTTTGGACGAGCACATCGTGCATCTACGTGCCGTTTTGGACAGGCTTCGTACGGCTAAGTACAAGGCCAACCGAGCCAAGTGCGAATTCGCACAGCAAGAGCTCGAGTACTTGGGCCACTTTGTGACGCCGCAAGGCATCAGTCCGCTTGCGGACAAGATCAAGGTCATCCAAGATTGGCCAGAACCGACCAACACCACGAAGGTTCGCTCGTTTATGGGATTGGCCGGGTACTACCAACGCTTCATCGGAGGATATGCACGGATTGCCGCACCCCTGTTAAGACTGCAGTCTTCACAGGCACCCTTCCACTTCACCGATGAAGTCCGCAGTTCGTTCCACAAATTGAGGACGGCACTGCTCCTCGCCCCCGTCTTAAGTATCTACGATCCCACCTTGCCTATGAGAGTGACAACGGACGCTTCCGGCTACGACATGGGTGCAGTTTTGGAACAACACGGCGGAGTAGATTGGCATCCGGTTGAGTACTTCAGCCAAAAGGTGCCTCCCATCAACTCAGTTGATGATGCGTGGAAGAAGGAGTTGCTCGCGTTCGTCACGGTACTCGAGCGTCGGCGACACTTCCTCCTCGGGCGTCATAGGTTCACTTGGGTGACGGATAATAACCCATTGACCCTGTGTGTCCATTCAACTCGCAACGGGATTTATTCAACTCCGTTGAACCCGTTGAACGGCCATCAGGCCCGAGTTGAATCCTCGTTGAACGGTATAACGGGGGCATTCCGTTGAATTTCGATCAACGGGTCGATCGCAATGGGGCTCGAACACGTGGCGGGACACACGTGGAATAAAGAAAAGTGAAAAAAAAAGGTTAAAAAAACACCCTATGTGTGTGTGTGTGTGTGTGTCTATGTGTGTGTCTGTGTGTGTTCATGTGTGTGTGTGTGTGTGTGTATGCGTGTTCATGTGTGTGTGTGTGTGTGTGTGTGTGTGTGTGTGTGTGT